CAATACTAGAACAGTTCTAGAACCTGCTGTAGTAGAACCGATACTAGAACAGTTCTAGAACCTGCTGCAGTAGAACCAATACTAGAACAGTTCTAGAACCTGCTGCAGTAGAACCGATACTAGAACAGTTCTAGAACCTGCTGCAGTAGAACCAATAATAGAACAGTTCTAGAAGCTGCTGCAGTAGAACTAATACTAGAACAGTTCTAGAAGCTGCTGCAGTAGAACCAATACTAGAACAGTTCTAGAACCTGCTGCAGTAGAACCAATACTAGAACAGTTCTAGAACCTGCTGTAGTAGAACCAGAACATCTGGATCGGACGCCACTCAGCCGATCCAATCAGAACCAGTGGCTGATGTTAAACCAGGTCTCAGCCAGCAGAACGGGACTCGGATTGAGACTCCTAATTGGTTCAGTAAAGAGCCAATCACAAGCTGAGGTTGCTGGAGTGTAGATTTTATGGGTTTCCATGGAAACCAGACTGATAACTGGGAAGAATGTGGGAAAATGTTGAAGCACCATCTAATAGTTGGAGTTCTGGTGCTGCTGGGATGCGGTTCTGACGCAACCGGCTGAGTTGGACTTGGTTTAGAATCCGTCAGAAGAAGAGGTTCTGCTGCTTGATGCATGTTGGTTCTGATAAAGACAGAAGGAACGGGTGGAACATCTTACCAGCGTGGTGTAGATGGCCTCGATCTTTTCCTCCTGAAGAGGCCTGAAGCCTGAAACCTTGCAGGTCAGGTTGGAGTTGACCAGAACCTGGAATGAGCAGAACAAGGAGTGAAGCTGGTTCTGAGGTGGAGAACGCCGCGCTCTCCTCCATCTGCCTCACCTTGTGCGCCGCCAACCGCTTGTGGACAAAGCCCATCTCAGTGAGGTACTTCATGCCTGAAGCCACGCCGCTCAGCATGTCCATCAGCTGCATGGCGCTCAGCTGGCCTTCGTGTTTCTATGGAGACAGAGGGGAGTTAGCTGAGCGGAACCAGCAGCGCCGCCGTTCTGTCATCACGCTCGCCAACAGGGCCCGAAAATCAAGCGTACCCTGAGGAAGGCGTCCATGGCGCCGTTGGCCATGCTCTCCTCCACGATCATCATGGTGTTTCCTGCAGACACACAGGGATCTGTCAGAGGAGAACGGACCAGAACCAGTCAGTCCGGTTGGTTCTACAGCTGCACACAGTCAGGGTTCATTAGGGCCAATCAGGCGACCCGGTTCTGGGCTCAGGTAGAACCAATACTAGAACAGTTCTGCTGCAGTAGAATTAATACTAGAACAGTTCTAGAACCTGCTGCAGTAGAACCAATACTAGAACAGTTCTAGAACCTGCTGCAGTAAAACCGATACTAGAACAGCCCCCCACCTGTGGTGATGACCCCTTCCAGGCGGATGATGTTCCCGTGGTCGAACTGTCCCAGGATTCCGGCCTCGCTCAGGAAGGAGCGCCGCTGCTTGTCGGAGCAGCCGGCCCTCAGCGTCTTGATGGCCACCGGCAGCTCTCTCTTACTGGGGAGCCTCAGGCAGCCGCGGCACACCTCCCCAAAGTCACCTGCAGGGGGAAACGGAGAGCAGAACTCAGGTTGGGATGTCAGAACCAGGTGCGACCCAGCACCAGCGGGTCCGGTACCTGTGTGCATGATTCTCTCTATCTTGATGCTCTGGTTGTCCAGCTCCTTGGCGAAGGCGTGCACGGCCTGCAGCAGGTCCTCACAGGTCTCCGGGTCGATGTAGGTTCTCCGGGTTGGGATTTTAACTGGAATCACAGAGACTTCCTCAGTGTTGCTTCAACAGACATGATCAGAGGAATCAAAGTCAGACAGGAAACAGGAAGCTCATTAGAGTCTAACTGGGAGTTATCCCAGTAACCTCCATCAGCAGAACACAGAGACCAGTTCAGCATGAAGCGCTTTGATGTCCAATCAGTTATTTCTGCTCTGCTCTTTCTGATCAGAACCAAATGGACTCTTTCATCTGACGTCTCGTTTCTCTTCAGAGTGTAATGAGCGCAGGTCCGACGGTCGGAGAGGAGCCGCCCAACAGAACCCAGCAGAACCTCTGATAGCTGTGATGTTAGAAGTGGGACTTACACTGGAAGTAAAGTTCCTCGTCTCCTTCCTGGGAAGCTTTGCTGTAGCCGCACTGCCTGCAGAGATAAAAACACAAAAGGCTGATTATCACCACAGATCTGACTGCAGCGGGATTATTGACGCCTCAGAGGAGGAACTCAGGCTGCTGTTTAATGGCAGAGAAGCAGTTTGTTCACAGCTCTCATCTGGATGAGCGCCGTTCCACCATGATCCGTCCGCTGGATGGAAAACTGAGAGGTTTTTCCAGTCGACTCGCTAGATTAAGGTTCTGATGATAAACCCTGAAAAAGCCCAACCCTTAAATCCCACATGGTTCTGCTGGGAGCCGGTCCCGACCCTACGCAGGGTCCAAAGCGGGTCGCTGTGGTTCTGCAGGTTCCAGCTGATTCTGATGGTAACAGCCGGTTAATCAGCTGCAGAACCACAGGGACCCTGAACCTGACCGCGTCCTGCTCTCTCTCCCTGACCTGCAGCATCGTTGGCTGACCGGCGGCTGGAGAGTCAGGATTCTGAAGAAGCTTCAGCTTTAAGGTCCGGTTACCAAGGAAACTGAACTTTACTTATTTTCTGTTTGGAGCAAGTTAATTATTTATTTTTGGACATTTTATTGTATTTCCTGTTAATTTCCGTTTCCTTCTGAGAGAACAGGTGAGGAACACCAAGGTCTCTCAGCATCTGATCCAAACTAACAGCAGGTCCAACCGGATCAGAACTTTCTTCTCTTTTAACTGCTGATCCTCAGGATTAAATCCAAACCCAAAGAAATCAAGTTCCAGAAAAGCCAGATGGGCGGAGCTTCAACAAAATAACCGACTGAATGAGAAATCAGCATCTTTATCATCAGCTTTATGATCCATGAAGCAGTTCTGATCCGGTTCTGAACGGGTCTGAGATCCTCCAGCCCATCTGGAGTCTGAAGCTCGTCGCTTCAATCTGAGGAAGACTTTAGACGGCTTCAATCTTCATCACAAAACGAGGAAATCAGAAAGATCCAGATTATTATTTTGGGGGATTAAATGTGTCTTATGTGACTGAAAGCATGAAACCCAATGAATGTTTGAGGAATCAGAACCAGCAGA